ATTGGTTGATCCGAAGCTGTGATATGCCTGTCTCTTATACACATCTAGATGTGTATAAGAGACAGGTACTTAACTTATTATTTCTATAAGAATAGTTTAGAGCGTTACATAAAATATACTTAAGATCTTCCCAAAAATAACGGTAAAATTCTACGCTAAGTCCATCAGAACCAGGGCTTTTATTAAGCTTCATTTTATAAACAGAATTTGTGCATTCCTCAACCGTGATTTCACCTTCACATTCTTCTAATTCGTTTTCGGAGAGTTTTTTTTTAAGGTTCGTTTTCTTTAGATATGAATTAATCATAATCTCAGGTATATTTTTATTTTTGTATAGGTTTCCATAAAACTTAACTTGCTCTTTTTGGATATCACCAATATTTGACGTGTATTTACCATTTTCTTTTAGTACACATGTGATGTGTTTTCTTTTTGCCTTGCTTTTCTCTAGCCCTAAGAAGAATTTATTGTTTTTTTCACCCTTTTCGAACCATTGTATTCTTGAGCGAATTTGTGCGCCTCGAACGTCAGACTCATAGATATCTTATAATTCTTTTGTCTAACTTTTCAAAACAGATTCAATATCTTTATCGTAAACAATGTTTAACTTATTTGTAAGTACATTGACTTCTCTAAGTAATTTTTCTTTTTTTTCTTTTTTCCTGTTTTCTTTTTTTGCACAATATTTACATGTGTATTCTTTTATTTTCACTTTCAGATACTCCCACAGAAGCTCTGGATTTAGATTATATTCATTTTTTTTTAACTTCTCAATAATTTTTAATATATTAAAGGAATAAGTGTTGTCTTCTAAAATGCTATTATTTATTTTCCAGATACCTGGACCTTTTTCATATTGATCTATAAACAATTTAAGTGAAATCGCCTGGTGATCAGTAAATACGGCCGGCCATTTGTCAGTATGCACTATATCGCCATTCGTATGTAATGCTTTTGATACGATCCAGTAGTCTAATCTCCTATATGTATCTTTCCTTCTCCATGTGAATTGAAACGTGTTTTTATGGCAGTGTCGCCATATATCTATTAGTTTATGTTTATACATACAATTTTTCAAAGCTAACGGTGAGTTATCATAGTGGGGGATACTGTTTCTTTGATCAACGTTGCGATCTAGAACACAGTTCATATCACCACCCATGACAATGTATTCATCAGACTATCTATCTTTTTTCCACTTTTTTAAAGAAAAGTGATCTTTCTTTATAATTATTTGGTGCATATAGATTAATTAAATTTATTGTTTTATCTTTATGCTTTAGACTTACAATTATATTCCTACCCTCTCCATCTACAAATTTACAACAGATGTTCTTGGCGTCAAAACTTGTTTTAAACAGTATCGAAACACCTCTACTATTGGTTGATCCGAAGCTGTGATATGCTTCACCTTTCCAAACTTTAGAAAGACAACTTATTGATGCTTTATCAAAGTGCATTTCTTGTAGCAAAACAATATCTACATTTTGTTCTTCTAACCATTTAAACATTTTTCGTTTTTTATGGTTATCTCTCAAACCTCTGACATTTAAGGATATTAAATGCAGACTACATTTTTTGGGTTTTCTTTTCATTTTATATTTTTTTTATGTACTTTTTAATTATAACTAAAGACCAGTCAGAAAACATATTACTAATCGTACATATAGAAGTAAGTCTTATTCTAACTTACAGAGTCCGATTTCTTTTCCTTCTTCTCTGCATTTTTTCCCCACTTTCTGTAATCTTTTTTCTTTTTGTCGCCGCAAAGGACTGTCGGGCAGAAGTAGCAAACCCCGCATCAGTATTTTCATCTAGGGTTATATCTGGTCTTCCAGCACTAACAAAATCGGTAATTGGCCTCATGCCTTCCGTATTCTTTTCAGATTTTTTAAGTTTTTCTTTTTCTAATTTTTCAGCTTGTTTTTTTTCCCGCTTTTTTTGTTTCTTTTTCTCATTTTTACTGACAGTGTATCCTTTAGGAGTAGCTGCAGATGAGCGCTCTTCTTGGTTAATACTTTTTACGCTATTAATTGCGACTTTCATTATCTGTTGGACCCTCTCATCTAACTCAAATGAATCTGGGTCACTACCAGGGTTGGCAGGTTTGTTGAGTAGGTCCTCAAGAATACCGATGACATTCTGTGTGTTATCCATTGGTTTATCTTTAACTGATTCTTTTCTTCCATTTGTTTTTTTGCAAGCATCACTTTGTACTTCCCCATCACTCGATTCAGGATCGCTCAGGAGGTCACACGTCACTATATCTTCGGGTTCTGGTTCAATCTCGGACTCTATCCAATGATCTGTTATGCTTTTGTTGCAGGTATTTGCCCTGTGACCATGTTTATTGCATTTATGACATACCGTGCTTTTTAGCTTCGTTGGGCAGTCGTTTACTTTGTGGCCCGTTAAACCGCATTCAAAGCATGTTAGATCTACTTTCTGATCTCTATGGAAGATTCTCGCATTGAAATTATTTATCTTAAGAACTCTCGGAAGACTTCCTTTGAATGGCTGCACAAAAACTGCTCTGTCTCCATTTAGAAATCTTGAAAGCTTTCCATTGATTCGAAATTTAATAAATTGTATTTCTCTTTGGATTTTGCAACCAAGTTTTTTTTAAGGCATCAGTAATTTCTTCATCCCGAACAGACAAAGGTATATCCTTAACTAGGATTCTTACTTCATTTTCATCTCCGCCGATATATGGGTTGACATCATACACTTTAATCTGTTTTCCATTTATTTTTAAACCAGAAGTGATTGCTTTCACTCTTTCGCTGTGATCATCTATATAAATTCTCCAAAGGTTTCTAACCTTTTGGGTTCCTATGAGGTGATCACAATTGATGACCTCACTTAACGAAAAGTAAAGAACCTCTTCTTTGATAAAATCCTCGTTTCTGTTTCTGATTTCATCATCTTTAAGAAAGACAGGCTTTACGTTTAATCTTTTCTTATCGTTGATAGTAGTCATGGCAACAAACGTTCGTGAACAAAGGCTTTTCAAATTGTGTTCACTCGAGCATGAACTGTCCGAATCACTTAACGAAAAGTAAAGTACCTCTTCTTTGATGAAATCCTCGTTTTTGTTTCTGATTTCATCATCTTTAAGAAAGACAGGCTTTACGTTTAATCTTTTCTTATCGTTGATAGTAGTCATGGCAACAAACGTTCGGGAACAAAGGCTTTTCAAATTGTGTTCACTCGAGCATGAACTGTCCGAACGACTCAGTAGAGCTGGTTGTTAGGGTAAACAAAGGTTCTTACCGACCGTTTGCTGAGTAGTTTTGGCGGGTTGATTACATTTATTTTCTCTAGCAGGCTTGGTTCAAGAACTGCTCTCAACTTCGTTCTATGATTTTCAGAATGAAAATTAATCAAATGATCCTTGATCACATAACGTTCCAAATTACAAATATTCAGGAGGATTCCGAATTTGTTATCAAGAAATCAGAAAAAATGTAGAATATTATTGTTGGTTATTTAGTGTACGTATTCACTTTAAACGCCACCAACGCCACCCTGTCGACCATTCTTTATACATTTGGTGGTATTAGAGTATTTAGACATACAGTATATATATGTTGACAAAGTTTTTACAAATAGCGGAAATGACTTTTAAACACGCTTTATCATCATTACTGAGCTACTCAACTGTTGCATTCCTTCATTAATATTACACTTGAAACTCGAAGAATATAAACCGTTTATAAAGCATGAATACGAACATGTACGAAACCACCACCCACCGCCATCTTCTAAAGCGCAGTTTTTTATATTGAAACTATTGTTCATGTCGTAGGTTGAGAATTTTGCACCGATTGCATCATAGATTACTGGACCTATGGTTTAAAAAGTAAAAGTAAAAAATTAATTAAAAAATATATAATTATAGTTATGTAAACCCAACAAATCTAACCTACATTCCAGATTATAATCTGATCGTGTTTCAATATTCAAATATTTTCTGCTTCTTGCACTTAGATTTACCGGTACTTCTTTTTTACCAAGAAAAATGCAAATGTTGGCTTTACTCAGGTCAAGTGTATGTGTATTTACTCTAATAACCGACCTATATTTATAAATCATATACATGTTACTCGGTGGGCCAGTCATGTGGTCAAGTAGAAAATGCAGACGTCAATTAACAACTTTACAGTCTTTGTTTTCGGTATTCTTTGTTTGGAGCCTATCTGCACTTTTACCATCATCAACGCTATCATCATCATCATCATCATCATCATCATCCTCATCATCATTAATTATCTTCATAAACATAATCATCATCATTAATACATTTTACGATCGTTAATCATCATCCTTTAATCATAATTAATCATCATCAATATCATAATTTATTATTGATTATCATCATCGTTAAGTCATGACATCAAAAACTATCATTAATTAATATTACTCATTGAAATAATAGTAATAATAACAATAATAATGTTCTTAACCGTTCTGAATTGAGAGAACAAGTGGTTTTCATTGACTATCAGA